ACGTACTACTACTACTCTCTCTCTCTCTCTCTCTCTCTCTCTCTCTCTCTCTCTCTCTCTCTCTCTCTCTCTCTCTCTCTCTCTCTCTCTCTCCCTTTCAGTATGTGCGCCATTTTGTAGTCTTAGGTGGTCCCCATATTACGAAAACAGAGAAAAACAGGTCTTTTTTGTTTAGGAGTGTGTTTAGGCTGAGGTTTGGCAATATATGTGGGTGCCTACACTAGGCTCTCCTGTAACTGCAGGGGGCCAGGCTGGGACACTCATCACTCTTAATTTGGATAAAAAATAAAATAAAAAATAGAAAAATAAACCGAGGTATGGAAATAAAAAAGGATGTCCAGACAGGCCCTAATGAATGTATAAATGCATGCACGTGGATATGAAGTTACCTGAGTGATAGATTTGTTTGCAGCAAGCTCGTCCATGTTTCCTATATTAACCTGGATGGGACGTGCCAGTAAGTCGGCAGCAATCTTACGAACCTCTTTGGGCCATGTTGCAGTGTACATGAGTGTCTGTCGGCGTGGGGGTATTTCCTTAACAATTTTTCGAATCTGGGGCTCAAAACCCATATCAAGCATACGGTCTGCCTCATCAAGTACCAAGTATGATACCTGCTTCAGGCTCACCCTCCTCATCTCTAGTATGTCATTTAGTCGCCCTGGTGTTGCAACAACGATGTCCACGCCCCTGTCCACATCCTTCAGCTGAGGGCCCTTGGGAGCTCCCCCATATAAACACTATAAAACAAAGCCCATATCAATATGTAAAAGGGTTACACAAATCCTTGTACTTTCAAATGGCAGAGGGAGATGGGGCAAGCAGAAGACCAAAACTAGCAGGAATCACATGGCTGTCACAATCACCTATTTTTTTGAGAATGACTTCCTCTCACAATCACTTATTTTATGGCTGTTTTAATCAGTTAGAGAAATACAAGCTCACGTTTGATTGGTTAACTAATAACATAGTATCACTATTGATTAGTTAACAGAAAAACATAATATCCTACATTTTTGCTAAGAGCATACATATAAATAGCCTAGTCTGCAGTAGTTGAATTTCAGATCATTTCTGCAAAACATAATATCATACATTTAAGCATGGAAAAAGTTTATATAAGGATGCTATCTTATAATGTAGAACAACGGATGCCCCTCAAAAATCCATCGAAAAAGGTAGTTTTAATGTTGAAAAACCCTTTGATTGAAAAATAAAAAGATTTTAAGCCTCAGAGATAGTGCATTTTACAACATATCATCTACACCGTCCATTTTCAAGATTTCATATGTTTATCTACATGATTTTAACCATTTT